ATTAACTATCATTATACAACCTTTTGGCTTTTTTTAACACCAGAATAAAACCAAATTCTGTGCCTATTGCAAAACATTGTTATATTAATAGGAAATAGGGGAGCAAATCAGGTCCCGTTTCAGTAAAGAGGTCTATTATTACGCTGACAGCCAACAGGACACGCTGTCAAGTAATGCAGAGCCACTGGTGATAATGAAGTCAAGAAGTTCTGCTGTGAGCATCTGTGATTGGATGCTAATTTCCTTGCTATATAGAAAGATTTCTAAATGGTTTTTGGTTTAAGCTTTATAAAACCCTTTTTCTTCCTTTCAAAACTGCAGTGTAGATTATAGGCAGGTCAAAGAAACAGAAGGAAAGATGAACAAGACTGCTAGAGAAGAAATAGTCTGTCCTGGTCCATGCCTGAGAGCACTCTGGACCAGCCAGGCCGCATTTGGCCTGCTGTCTTCTGCAGCAGCTGGGCTTTATACCTGATACCAATGCATACTCTTTCCTTTCCTCATTTACCTATGTTTTGAATTACAGAGTTGCAATAGAGTTAACTTGCCCATGGTGCCCTTTGTGTGTGTGCTAGAGAGAGAGGAGCTGGGCATGTGGCTCAGCCCCTGGCTGGACCTGCCACCAGCTGAGAAGCAGCACACATCACAGCACTTTATATGCTTATCAGAGTTTAATTTCTGCAACAAAACCAAAAGTAAAGAACATGGCAGAATCATAGAATCATAGAATGGTTTTGGTTGGAAGGGAAGGGAAGGATTCAAAGATCATCTATTTCAAACTTCCCTGCTATGGACAGGGACACTTTCCACTACACCAGGTAGCTCAAAGCCTCATCCAAACTGGCCTTAAACACCTCCAGTGATGGGGCATCCACAACCTCTCTGTGCAACCTGTTCCAGTGCTTCATCACCCTCAGAGTGAAGAATTTCTTCCTTAGATCTAATCAAAATCTACTCTGTTTTATTTTAAAGCCATTGCCCCTTGTCCTATCACTGCATGCCCTTATCAGAAGAACCTCTCCAGCTTTCTTGTAGGCCCCCTTTAGGTACTGGAAGGCTGCTATGACATCTCCCCGGAGCCTTCTCTTCTCCAGGCTGAACAATCCCAACTCTCTCAGCCTGTCTTCATGGTACTCCAAGGCTCAGATCATCTTTGTGGCCCTGCTTACAGCTCCATGGTCTTCTTGTTTTGGAAACTCCAGGGCTGAATGCAGGACTCCACATATGGTATCACAAGAGCGGAGTAGAGGGGTTGAATTACCTCTCTAGACTTGATGATCACTTTTCTTTTAATTCAGCCCAGGATAGGGTTGACTTTCTGGGCTGCAAGTGCACATTGCCGGCTCATGTTGAGCTCCTCATCAACCAGCACCCCAAGTCCTTCTCCATAGGGCTGCTCTCAATTCATTTTCCGCTCAGTCTGTACTTGTGCTTGGAATTACCCCGACCCATGTGCAGGACATTGCACTTGGCCTTCTTGAACTTCATGAGGAAAGGACTATTAACTGATCCCACCCACTCTCTGCAAACACACTACTTCGTTATTTCTCTTAGATTCTACCAAAACTGAAGCTTGAGACAACTCTGCAAGTAAGTACTTCTGTGAAGTTTAGACTTAAAGCGTGAATGGCATGGCTCCTAAGATGTGGTCACAGAGTAATATCATGCTGGCCTGGCTCAATTCAATATCTTGTCAACCACATCCAAACTTTTTCGTACCGAAGCTGTCCTTACTCTCTAAGTAGAGTAGAGCTCAAATCAGCAGGGAAACCTCAGGGAAAAACTCAGTGTAAATAAAAGATTTAGAGAAATCTTAACTTCTGCATATGACTAACTCTGCTGACTCTAGTAAAATCTAAAGATTATTTAAAAGAAGCAGAAGTTAGTCCTAAAATTCAAAATCTGATGTGTTTTGTCTTACCTACTGTCATGAAGAGTATTGTCCAAAAAACTCTTATGTAACTTTTAAATCAAGTATTTGTCTCATTGTGATGAAACTAGGTGTTCCTGAACTGGTGAAATTTGATTCTGTTTTGCTTATTAAATAGGGGTGGTGTCTAGAAGGACGTGTTTGAGAAGTGCTTTATGTGATGTAAAATAT